ACACGCACACGCACACGCACACGCACACGCACACGCACACGCACACGCACACGCACCCGCACCCGCACCCGCACCGCACACACGCACACGCACACGCACACGCACACGCACACGCACACGCACACGCACACGCACACGCACACGCACACGCACACGCACACGCACACGCACGCACACGCACACGCGCACACGCACACGCACGCGCACACGCACACGCACAACGCACACGCACACGCACACGCACACGCACACGCACACGCACACGCACACGCACACGCACACGCACACGCACACGCACACGCACACACGCACACGCACACGCACACGCACACGCACACGCACACGCACACGCACACGCACACGCACACGCACACGCACACACACACACACACACACACACACTCACACACACACACACACATCCCAGGGTTCCCCATGTCTTCCCAGATTTTCTGGAGTTTCGTCTCCCCCCCCACCGCCCATATTTTCCCACATTTTCCTGGGAGTAGACACTTGATGGTGTCTGTGTGCGTTTTCCCCTCCTGAGAAAGAGTGACCCGGGGTAGGAGTGACATTTGGTACGCGGCATAACGGAGGACGCGGGGTGGCCAAATCCAGGCGCGCAAGCCGCTGCTACCGCTTCGCGTTCAGCGATCGGGGGACCCCATTGGGCCCGCACCAAAGGTCACTCCGGCGAAGGGTCACTCTTACGTCTAGTCGGCTTCGGGGGATAAGAATCTTCTGCGGGGTACCTGCCGACAGGCAGAGGTGCCTGCTGTAGCCTAAGCAGCCTCGGGAAGCCGCTTTCTGGCCCCTGGACCGTCAAGAGAAGCGCCTCGAGGAGGAAGCGGCGAATGAATTGGGGGCGATGAAGGGGGAGGGAGAAAGGGAGAACCGGACCCTTTTCGGGCCCTAGAGGGGCCCCCTTCTGGGCCCCAAAGGGCCCCATTCAGGGGCCCTATGGAGCCCTTTCAGGGGCCCTATGGAGCCCCTGTCTTCAGCCTTCGCTGGCCCCCCTCATTTAAAGCGCCCCCCATTAGTTCCCCGACCCCCTGGGAAGAGCTGCAGATCCGGATGTTTTTTTCTCTCCACAAGCAACGGAGCCTTCGACAAGCCTCCCACAGCTCACAGATCAGCTGGCGCTGCGACCCAACTCGCCTTGCCATTAGCCCAGACACCTGCCGCCATGATGCTGCAGCGTGGCTTCCCGTAAATCGGGACCCCTTTACCGGGACTGGCTCTTCATCCTCAACCGTTATTTGAATGACGATCAAAAACGGGTCTTGCGCAAGATGACGCAGGGACCTTACGCCGCAGCTTACACGGCCCGCCCGCGCGGCGCGCCACATTTGAGACGAGGGCGCTTACGCGCGATCTTGGGCGGGCAGCTTACTCGGCGATGTTTGCGCAGACGACCCCGTTTTCTTGCGTCGCTCGTTTGACGGTGGGGGGGTCTGGTGAGGGCCCCCTGGAGGCTGAAAATCAGCAATCACTTTCCGTCGAGATGTTTCTTCACATCGAGAGGGTGTCAAAGAAGATCAAGAAACTCGGCCGGGACGAAGGGGAAGAGTGACCGGAAATAGGTCTAGATCCCCGCGGGCACACGCCGCAAGAACACTCCGCCGCTGCCCAAGGAGGACGGGCCCAAACACGCGTCCCTCCTTCTTCTCGCTCCTTCCCTGTCGCCTGCCTGTGCCATGAGCTTGTCCCGCGACGCAGCCAAGCACCCTCGAGTCGTGGACAAAACCACGACGGGCGGTGCTGAACCATTCTCGGCCTCATGGGGACTCAGGGTGGAAAGCTGGCCCCGGGCAATGGTTCAAAATCTCCGGGGGTCCTCGTTGTGGAAAAACTTGAGTTCAGGGGGTGCGTAGACATATGGTCGGGCCTAGGCTATGGCGATTTGCGCTCCGCTTCCCGTCTGCAGGGTGAGGGCCTATTCATCAGGCAACTTGGCGTCGATGGCGCCTCGGCATCTTGGTGCAGAGTCCCGATGCGTTGCCCGAAGACCGACCAGCCCAGACAGCGTGACGACGAGGACGGGGACGGTGGACCGCTGGAGGGCTCCGGGGGGCCTGCGGGTTCACCATCTTCTGCGGGTCCTTCGAGCCCGGTATCGCGAAGCCTGGGCGCCAGGGGGCGGGGGGGTGGAAGGAGAGAAGCAGGCCTTACCCACCTCCTCCACCTCTTCCGCCCTGTCCTCCTTACCCCCCTCCTTCCTCCTGCTACTCCTCATTTTCCCCCTCCCCCTCCTCCTTCCCTCCTCTTTCTCCTCCTCCTCATCCTTCTCCCTCCTGGCCCACTCCTCCACTTCCTCCTCCACCTCCTACTCCTCCTCCTCCTCCTCCTCCTCCTCTTGCCTTCCTCCTTCCTTCCCTCCCTCCCTCATTCCCTCCTCCCCCTCTTCCTTCATTCGCCTCTCCCACTCTCTGCTCCTGATCCTCTGCTCCGACGGCGCAGCTTTGTCGCGACGGGGGACCCCGGCCCGGGGTCCTCGACGTCGCACCTCTTGCCTCAAGGTTCTCGAGCTCGGTTCTACCTCCTCAGCCGCTCTTGACAGTCCCGTGGCCGGGAGGCGTCCTCGTGAGGCCGAGCAAACCGAGAAAACCAAACTAATCGTGGCGATGTGGTTGCTGTGTGACGCCCAGGTCTGAGCGGGAAGCAGGGCAACCGGCAACTCCCCCTTCTCCCCTCCCCTCCTCTGATCACTGGATACTGGAATTTCCCAGTCGCGACCGACGAGATCAATCTCTACCGATGTTGCTTCAAATGCCGGTATCGGTCGCGATCGGTGGCGACCGGTCACGACCGATTCTGGGACCGGTCGCGATCGGTCACGACCGACTTGAAGTGCCGCTCGGTCGCTGCCGAACCAAAACCAGTATCCAATGATCTTGTTAACGCACGTTCTGAGGATCACTAGAGGCCTCCTAGATGGGGTCCGAGTAGATGGGGTCGAAGGATCGCGCCGCATCGCCAACGCATCCCGACGCATCGGCGATGCATCGGCGACGTCGGCGATGCATCGGCGACGTCGGCGTGAGGAAACACGGTCGCCGCATCGAGCCGCCTCGTCGATGCATCGGTGATGTGGCCGGATCCACCGACCACATCTACTCCGACCCCATCTGGGAGGCCTGGAGGAACACTGGGTACTTGGACCTTCTGTTGCGCCTCCGGGAGACGCCTCGCCGCCATGGCCGGGTGTCCGCCCGGCACTCCTGGGCGGAGCGCCCCCCAGGACAGGCCCCCCCTGCAGGGGCTCGGGGAGCGGCCCGGGGGCACCCCCGCGGCGCCTCGACATGGGAAGCAGGGCGGAACGGTCTCGCCATGCGGTGCCTGCCAGGACTGTTTCAGACGCTCCAGGACGAACAAGAAAAAGGACGAAGCCAGGACGCAGCTGAACTCGGGTGGGGACATCGGGCGCCGCGGCCTGCTCAGAGCGTTCAGGAGCGCTCTGAGAGCGTTGCGGAACGTTCTGGAACGGATTTATCCTCGTCCTAGCCCCCGTCCAAGCAAGGGCCCCTGGGAATGGGCGGGGAGTTACGTGGCCCCCGCATGTTCAGGGAGTCGGAGATCTGGACGTCTGTTTTCGAGCGGTCTGGTTCTGGTGGCGGGATCTACACATGCTGGCGGCGGTTCGCTGCGCTCAGTGGTTGACATGAAGTCAAATAAGCGGGTCCCGAGGGAAAGGGGTCCCGGGCCCTGGGGCTTCCCCCTCGGACCAACTCCTCATCCGGAGTAGTTTCTGCTGGCGCCCCCGGGGCTCGAGAGGGTCCCAGTGGGCGAAAGACTCAGAGGGGCTCAGAGGGACCCAGAGGGGCTCAGAGGGGCTCAGAGGGGCTCAGAGGGGCTCAGAGGGGCTCAGAGGGGCTCAGAGGGACTCCACTGACCCGCTGCCCGCAGACCTCCCTGTTCTTCTTGGCGACCTGTGGGCTCAAGAGGATGGGCCCACGCCCCGCAGGGTGCGCACGCGTGAGGAGATCTGCCGCGGCTCCGCGCGCCGGCGCCGACGAAGACCCCGAAAGAGCACCTACTCTCTGCTTTCGCGGCGGCCCGCGGAGCGTATGCAGCGGATGCCGAGCTCCTTGCAGACGTGCTGGTACAGCTCGAAGTCGTGCTTGTAGAGCTGCCGCATGGCCCGGGTCCTGGCCGCGAGGAGGGCAGGTGAAAGGGGGCAGTGTGTCTGCACAGATGCACCACCACAGGGCCCATCACGAGCCCGCTCTGGGCCAGATGCTGGTGTGCGGTCATCAGCTGCTGCATATAGCGTGTCGCGGCGGCGGTCCTGGCGGCACGCTATGCCTTCCGAGCGGATAGCGTGTCCCTCCGCTCCGCGGGGCGGGAGGCTCGGGACGTTGACGCTTGGGAGTGGAGAAATGGATCGCGTGTCGAGCCGAAGCGTGGTTGGCCAGAACCGGATGCACCACCACCGAAAATTCATAACCGTATGCACCACCACCATGTCCGTTACGAGCCAACTCCAGGCCAGATGCCAGTGCACATGGCCTCCCAACATGTCCAGGAGTCGAGGCACACTGCAGGATCGGCCCGCGAAGAGGCCTCATGAGGCGTGGAAGCGATGTATACGTCCCCTCTCCCAAGAAGGGGGCGGCTTGCTGGAAAGCCACAGGGTGGCCTCTTGGAAAGGGGTCGGCCCGCGCAAAGACCAAACCGCCCAACGCCTGCCACAAGGCGGGGGGACCAGCCAGTCAGTGGCGCCGGGAGAAGAAGCGGGAGGAGGCGGAGGACAGGAGGCCTCAGGCCAAGGGCCCTCCTGCTCTTCCCTCCTAAGCCTCCCCGTCCTGCTGCTCCTCCTCCTCCTCCTCCTCCTCCTCCACAAACCTCCCGCATCTTTCCTATTCTTCGTCGTCCTCTCCCCTCTCCCTCTCCTCCTCCTCCTCCTCCTCCTCCTCGTCCTCCTCCTCCTCCTTCTCCTCCTCCTCCTCCTCCTCCTCATCATCATCATCATCATCATCATCATCATCATCATCATCATCATTACCATCATCGTCATTATCAGCATTGTGAACAACATCATCATCGCCAACACCATCACAATCACCGACACAACCACCATCGCCACAACGATCAGCATCATCAGCACCACCAGCATCATCAGCATCATCAGCATCATCATCACCATCATCATTCTCATCATCATCACCATCATCAACATCATCATCATCGTCATCATCGTCCTTATCGTCGTCATCATCATCAGCATCATCAGCATCAGCTTCAGCATCATCATCATCATCATCATCCTCATCCTCATCCTCATCCTCATCCTCATCCTCATCCTCATCCTCATCCTCATCCTCATCCTCATCCTCATCATCATCATCATCATCATCATCATCATCATCATCATCATCATCATCATCATCATCATCATCATACTCATCATTCTCAGTATCATCATCAACACCATCAGCAGCAGCATCATCACCCCCTCCTCCTTCTCCCTCCTCCATATCCGCAAGCCTCGAAGGAGGAGGAGCAGGAGAGGGAGGAGGAGAGGAGGAGGAGGAGGAGGAGGAGGAGGAGGAGGAGGAGGAGGAGGAGGAGGAGGAGGGGGAGGAGGAGGAGAAGGAGGATGACGAGAAGGAAGAGGAGGAGGAGGGAGGAGGAGGAGGAGGAGGAGGAGGAGGACGGAGGAGGAGGAGGAGGAGGAGGACTCCCACCTATCCCGCCCCGCACGCGCGTGCACGCGCGGCGCGGGCCTCTTCGTGAGACGGATGGCCATCACGCGCTTGTGGGCCTGGGAGCCAAGCACCTCGCGGCCCCCGCGAAAGGAGACTCCCACCAACCAGGACACTGGGCACGACGAGGAGGGCGAGGACGAGGACGACCAGGACGAAGAGGACGTCAACGCCGACGCCGACGCCGCCGCCGCCACCGCCGGCGGCGCCGACGCCGACGCCGACGGGGCGCTTCCGGGGGGGAGTGAGAGAGGACTGGCCTTCTCAAAGACTCGGAAGCCCCCTGGCCTTCTAAGAATGGTTCTAAGCTTTCCTCGAAGGCCGGAGGGCTTCTGCGAAGCCTGGGCACCTTCTGAGAAGGCCCCCTCCTCACTTCCCCCCCTTCGCTCGCCGCCGAAACCAGGCCACCGGGCACGCCCAGCAGCCGCCGTATTTTCCTCGATCTGGGTGCTGTTCGGGCCCTGGGACCATGAAAACGGATCCAGGACGGGAATCTGCCTCCTGGGAGGCGGTCGGGATCTCCGGGGCCGTGGATTGAACGAATCACGTCGGCGCGTGTCAGTGGAACAGCTAAGTCCATTCGTCGCCAAGGGTTGGGGGCATCTTCCGTTCTTCGCTGCCCCCCGTTGCATCCTGCAAGGTCCCTGGTTTGCAGTATCCTGGTCTCGGGCCGGCTGACTGCACGCAAGAGTGAACCTAACGAGGCAAGTGTGACCTTTGGTGCGAAGCTTGCCGATCCTTGCGTGCGACATGACAGACGCGACCTCCGCTCAAGGGTCTTCCCCTCCCCCCGCGCCGGGCCACGGCGGTCAGCCGGGTCCCTCGACCCCGATCGTAGGAAGGAGGATGGGGGAAGGATGTTGATGAGAAGGATGGGGGAGGAGGAGGGAGGACAAAGGAGCAGGAAGAAGAGGGAGGTTTGCGGAGGAGGCGGAGCAGAGGGACTCGCGGAAAAGGCGGAGCAGAGGGACGGGAAGGAGCATGAAGCGGGAGCAAGAGGGCACGAGGGTGAGTGTGGGGAGGAGGAAGGCGGAGGCGGACAACAGGGAGAGGCTCGTGGAGGCTCACGGAGCTTGCCCCCCCAACCCCCCCAGGAGGCTCTGGCGGCGGCCGCGCCTGCGGGAATCTCAGGAGGTGCGCCCGCAGCCTGGCAGACCCGCCGCTCCGTTGTCGTCGTCGTCGTCGTCGTCGTCGTCGTCGTCGTCGTCGTCGTCGTCGTCGTCGTCGTCGTCGTCTTCGTCGGGATCTTCCTCGTGCTCTCCGCCGTCGTCGTCGTCGTTGGAGGAGGAGAAGGTGGAGGAGGAGGAGGAGGAGGAGGAGGAGGAGGAGGAGGTGGAGATGGAGGAGGAGGGGGAGGCGAAGGCCATCAGCAGCAGCTGCTCCTCACCCTCCCCCCGCTCCTTCGGCGTCGGGGGATGATGGGTCGGGCAGCGGCGAGCGCCTTGCGCGCTCGCGTGAGAGGGAGGGAGGGAGGGGAGGGAGGAAGGAAGGGAGGAAGAAGGGAAGGAGGGAGGGACGGACGGAAGGAGGGCGCGGCGGAGGGAAGGAGGGAGCGACGGAGGGGAGGAGGGAGGGAGGGAGGAAGGAAGTGAGGAGGAAGAGGAGGAGGAGGAGGGACGTCGTGGTCGTTGTCGTCGTCGGCAAGCTTGTCAGAGGGCCGGAAGAAGAGGGGGCTCGTCGTCGTCGTCGTTTTCGTCGTCGTCGTCGGACAGGCCGGGGAGAGGGGGAGGATCCAGAGATCCGATGCATTGTTGATTTCCTGTGGGGGCACCCAACGTCTCGACAGTTTCTCTCGACCAATTTTCCATCCTATAGTCGAAACGCTTTCAGAAGGAATCCGAAAAAAGGAACGAGGTCCCCTTTCCCATCAATTGAATTTCGGTTGCCCATCGAAAACCTACGGAAAACCAAGGACAAACTCTAACACACGTAAGGGACGCTGAACCCCTCCCCATCGAACAAGGCTCCTTCTGCAGCGGCCCGACTGTAAGCCGTTTTGGACGGCCATTGAGCCCACTGAAGGCCTCCTAGAAAAGCCAGGATGGGTCTTAGAGGGGCCTTTCAATACCTTGCAGGTCTCTAGAGGGATCGTTGTCACAGTCGTTGTTCTGTCGTCGTCGCCCCTGGAGGAAGAGGAGGAGCAGGAGGAGGAGGAGGAGGAGGAGGAGGAGGAGACAGAGGAAGATACAGAAGAGGAGGAGGAGGAGGAGGAGGAGGAGGAGGAGGTGGAGGAAGAAGAGGAAGAGAATATGTTATCGGCGGGAAAGGCGTCGGCGTCGGAGGAGGGGAAGCAAGAGGAGGTGTTTCCGTCCTCGTCGAGGTGGCGGTGGAGGGGCTGGGTGGCTGTGCCACTGGCGGCGCAGGAGCCGTCGTGGAGGGACCTAGGAGGCTTCGGAGAACAGGAGGCTCCCCGAGACGGCTTCTCGGAAGCCCGAGCGGCTTCCGAGAGCCCCCCTGCGTTGCTGCAGTGTGGGGCCAAGAACTGCAACCACCCACCACCCCAGTGCTGCAGTGTGGGGCCAAGAACTGCAACCACCCCAGCAAGGCACCTTGATGGCAGCAAAGGTGAAGAGGCGGGTCGAAGAATGGGAGGCCCGCCAGTGAAGACGGGCCTTCCTAGGTATTCGGGGGGGGGGGGGAGGACGGCCATGTGCACCTCAATGCTGTTTTTGTTTTAATGGTTTGTGGCCGCCGAGACCATGTCGCCAGCATTGAGGCGAGAGCGCTTCTCCTGAATACATCACTGACGTCTCAGGCGAAACGAGTGCCGGACCAGGCGGTCTAGGATTGCTCGTCCCCCTTGTGGGACTCCTTTCTGGTCCTTGTTGACCACCATGCGGAACCGATCGCGGAACGCTGGCAGGGAATATAAACAAAACAGTGTGGCCAAAAATGGTAAACGCTTCAGAAGCCCAAGAACCACGTGTCTCGACATCATGCGAGTCACACCAGGCAACAACAACTGAAGCGCCGCAGCTCCGTAATCAGCCGCCACAACCGCGTAGGGGGGGATGGACAAATTCTCTCGCCGCTGGGAGCGCCGCCCCCCCCCCTGAGAGAGAACCCGGGGGCCCTCCTATTAGAACACTTCCGCCTTCTTTTGGCGGCGAGCGAGGGGGGGAAATGAGAAGGAGAAGGCCTCCCTCAGAAGGCGGCGGGCGTTCTCAGAAGCCCTCGCGCCTTCCGACCAGCTTTCTGTCTCTTCGGGGGAGGCCTAATCCACTTTTCAGCAGTCGGGAACGGCCAAGAGTGGGGGGTCCAAGAGGGGTGTGTGCAAATCATGACCGGTGGCATGTGCGCGGCCCAGCGGGGGGGCCAGGGACGTAATGACAAGACGAGGCGCCAGGAAATCTGGGGAGACATCATGGCCCCCGCCATAATATCCATCCCCCCCCGCAGTCATCACCCCCCTCTTTGCCGCCCCCGAAGCAGGCTGGGGGCCTCCCCCCCCTCGCTGGCCGCCGGAAGAAAACGTCATGAGCATGAGCTCTCGGAGGTCCGAGCGGATCTCTCGGGCCGGCGCTGGGCACCTGCGGCGGCGCCTCCGGCGCCGCCCCTGACGCGTTCCGCGCGCTTGCGCCGATCCGAGCCATGCGCGCAGAACTCGGACAGTTCACTGAAGGGGCCCTGGGACACACAGAGAACTACACACGCAAACAACAGAACTCCCCAATTTTTTCCGCATTTTTTGGGGGGGGTGTTGTCCTCCCCCCCCACTTCCCACACTTTCCCCTATCTTCTGGGGGGATCGACGATTCATTGTGTCTGTGTGACGCTTTCCCTCCGATGCATGCTCGTGCGCTTTCTTTCCTCCTTCGATCGCAGGCCGCCTCTGGGCGCGCCTCGCCGGCGGTGGCGGGCGCCAACGGGCTGTGCACATCACGCAGGGGGGCCAGGAGTACACTCAACCAGTGTAGTAAGGATGCGCGATGAGGATGCAAGGGCCTTGGGCGCCCATTTCGAAGCTTTTCGAGCGGGGCGCGGCCGAAGGATGGACCGAGGAGGCAAGGATGCAAGGGTACTCTTGGGAAGGTTGCCCATCCTTACTATGCGGGTTGACTGTAGGAGCAGGAGCCAGTGGCGGTGCCAGTGGCATTCGGCGGCCCCCCCCGCTCCGAACAGGAGCCCAATCGCCGCATAGACAAAATTCACGGCCCGACCTGCACCCTTGGCCAGGAGTAGGAGCAGGAACCAGTGGCGATGCCAGTGAAATTCGGCGCCCCCCCCCCTCCCGCTCCGAAAAGGAGCCCATGCGCCGCGTAGGCAGAGTGCACGGCCCGACCTTCACCCTGGGCTTTTACCATGATTTCAGGTTCCTCAATCAAGGCGACACTTACCTGGAGTACCAGACAGCTGACCCACATATAGGAAACACGGATCTTGCCGTGGATCATTTGGACGCCAGAAATGGGTACGGAAAAAATTGGAACAATGCCCAACAACAAATGTTGTCCCAAACCAACAGCGGCCGCTGTTGGGCAGGCGGCCTTCTGTCTCGAATGGACACAGGCCGCGGCGGCGTGGACAGCGAATCCTGTTCAAAATGAATTTCGGGCGTCCAGAGATAATGCAGGCCGACCCGAGTATACGAGGAATATCACCTGACACCGCTGGGAACCAGCGGCCGGGCCAACGCTTAGGCAGGGTCCACCCGAGCCTTTCTGCCGAGCCACAACCCACCCACCAGAGGCGTTCCGCAGCTGCAAAACAACAGCCGCCCGCGTCGAGCCACGCAGGGAGTTGGAACTCCGGCGCCTGCATACAGACCCGTGTTCGTGGTGCAGGACCGGTCCACACCGGTGCCACACCGAGCGACAGCGAAAGGAACGCTTGAACTCCATGACTGTGTGAGCAAAGAGCCAAGTGGCCAAGTACATTGGATCGACGGCCACAGCAAATGGGATACGCCCCCGACTGCCCAACTGCAGCTCCAAAGTTGAAGTGCGCGTCGTTCAGATCTAATCGTGCTCACTTCTACGTAATTGTGCTCGCTTCTCATTGTTCCTGGCCCCCCCCGTGGCCAGGAAGGGGCCCAGGACAGAACATGCAGAAATGAGGGGATCTTGGCCCCCCAGAGACCCGAGAACTCTCGAAGAGTGAGACATGGACACCGTGTGCGCCCCGAGCTGCAGCTCCACAGTTGACGCACGCCCAGGCCGGCAGGGCTTGGCTGGGCACGGCCCGCGCCAGGACCTCCGCGTGCCCGGGACGGCCGCCGCCCGGAGTGTGGGAGGCGAGCCAATTCCCACCGTCTGTGTGCTGCCAAAGTTGTTCCACGGCAGCCCCAAAGTTGAAGCACGCCCAGAGATGGGAGGAGGAGGAGGAGGAGGAGGAGGAGGAGGAGGAGGAGGAGGAGGAGGAGGAGGAGGAGGAGGAGGAGGAGGAGGAGGAGGAGGAGGAGGAGGGAGGGGAGGGGGGTCGACGGGGAGAGGAGGAGGAGGAGGAGGAGGGAGGGAGGAGGAGGAAGAGGAGGAGGAGCCCTAATACGGTGGAGGTTTAAGATAAGGATGCCTTCGATAGGGAGCCCAGGGTCTCGCGGCCGATGGGCGGCAAAACGTGGCCCGCCCACCTCGCCTTGAAACAGAAAGGGATGCGCCAGGGTCTGGGCCCCAGGAAGACTTTCCTTGGAATGCCGCCGCCGTATGGAGGGTTCAGTTGGGCAGGGTGGGGGGGAAGAAGACGACTCTGGGCTCGGAGGCACTGCCGGGCAGCTCCGAGGGCACCCGGCGCAAGACCAGGGCAGAGTGGGACCAACGAGGCGCCAGGGCCAGTGCCTACTTCACCAGCGAGGCGCTGGGGCCGATGCCCAATCCATCGATTAGGAGATCGACTACATGATTTACCCAAGACTTCCTTTGTTCTCTCGTAGAAGCTACAAGAATTCGTCACACGCTCGTGGACCGACGAACATCCTACGCATCTTGTATTTCGTCGATTCGGCAAAGCAACAACAATGCGGTACAACAACTCTGTAGCCGATCTCCGACTCGAGCCCAACCTTCCAGGAAACGCGAACTCTCAAGCTGGACCTTGGCAGGCCTGGATTTGGTGGGACCCCGCCCCATTCCACTGGCTGGAACTGCCGCCACCCCCTATAAAAAAAAACAGCCACGGCAAACATGGTGTAGCGAGTCTGACAACTTGTTTGGCTCCAGGGCCCAATCCTGGGGGCCCTGGCTATGCCGACGCCGCCCACGGGGATGCCGACCTCGACCTCGCCGTCGTCCTGGCCAGCCACTGCGTTGTCGTCGTCGTCGTCGTCGCCGCCACCGAATTGGCCATCCTCTGGGCCCGTGCTCTTCGGGATGAAGACGCTCACCGCGTGGTTCAACTTCGACCGCGTCGGGAGCGTTGTCGTCGTCGTCGTCGTCGTCGTCGTCCTGGGGGTCCTGCCGGGACCCATTCCCTGGGGTCCTGGCTATATCCGATCAAGCACGGAGTGGCGAACGAGCAGGACCTGGCGGCACGCCCCACCAGACTAGCGCGCGCACCGGCCCCCGGGTATGGCGGGCACCATCGGAGGGCAGCCCGCCCTCCATGGCGATCGGTCGCGGCCGATCTTGAAGCAAATCGGTCGCGACCGATACCGACATTTGGAGCAACATTGGTAGCGACCGATCTCGTCGGTTGCGCCTGGGGGAATCCCAGCATCCAGTGACGAGGCTCACCTGGAGGTCCTGGCCATGTCCGGTCCAGCACGGAGCAGCGAACGAGCAGGCCCCGACGGCACGCACCACCGGACGGGTGTGCGCACCGGCGGGCTCCTTGGATGGGCGGATGTCCCAAGCCTTCGGAGGGCTGGGCGGACTTCTTGGCTGGGCGCTGGCCCCCCCCCCGAGTCTGCGAACTTGTTTGGCGCTGGGGCCCTGGCTACGTCCGGTCGAGCACGGAGCAGCGAACGAGCAGGCCCCGACGGCACGCACCCCCAGACGGGCCCGCCGTCTGGGGGCCACCGCGAGCCCGCCGGGTGGTGCGTGCCTTCTCTTGGCCTGCTCGTTCGCTGCCCCGTGCTCGATCGGATATAGACTGCATCAGAGAAGGAATCCCCCAGGACCTGAAGCCTCCTAGGCACATAGCTTAACCAATGCCGCCGCCGCATCCGATGGGGCACGGAGCAGCGAACGAGCAAGCCCCGACGTGACGGCACGCCCCACCAGACGGGCGCGCGCACCGGCCGCCAGGCATGGCGGGCACCATCGGAGGGCAGCCCGCGGGCCGTCGGCCTCTCCTGGATCTCCTTGTAGTCCTATCGTGTGTGCATGTGTGAATCGCTTGTTTACATGATTTGCAAGCATATGTAGGTATACGTCTATATTATGTGAAGTCGTTGCACATGTTCGTATGCATGCATAGGTGTCTATGTTTATATGTTTATACATACATGCATATACACTTATATAGCAAATTATGCCGTATGTACTGATGTATATGTGTACATGCGCACAGGTGTAAGTAATTATGTCCATACTGTAGACGTATGTATATGTATATATATATATATACATACAAATATATAGGTGTAGAGAGCCTCGGGTCGGGCGAAAGGGGGGGATAGCAAAGGGGGGGGTGAGAGTCAGCTCACGTAGCTGATTTCCCCAGCGCCTCCCGGAGCCGGGAGACGCCCATGTATCGAGGAATGGGCCCGGCTGAGAGGCCGAAACCAGCTGCATGCAGAAGATTTCGTAACCCCCCCTTTCCCAATCCCCCCTTTCATTCGGCCCGAGAGCCCTCGCACAAGCAAGTGAATCGGGGTTATATTCTTGCTCCCTGGGCCGAGGCAGGGGCGCGCCGGCGCCTGGCCCTCGGCGACGGGCTTCACGGCCCAACGCTCCCCGATGGCTTGGTGCCACACGCGCGCGGGGGACACATCGGAGTGGACAACGCTCGGGCCGATGCGCTGGCAATGGCACTGTGGCGCTGTGCCGGTTTTCGGGCTACGAGCCGTTATGATAACCACGTCACCGATCCCTGAAAGGCCTCATCCACCAGCCCCCTGGAGGGCCACATCCACCAGACAATCGCAAGGCGGGCCCTGCGTGTATGAGCCTCGCGCAAACTACAATGCCTGTTTCGTCTTGCAGCCAATGGCAATGCTCGGCGGCGAGTGAGGGGGGGAAGTGAGAAAGAGAAAGCCTTCTCAGACGAGAGCACGAGCGCGACGACAAACGGGAAAAGCCGTGCCGCCCCCCGCCCGAACGGCAACGCCTGAGGATCTTCTCCGTCAGGGTCGCTATCCGGACGGCCGGGCTGTTCGTGTCGTAGGCGCGTCGCTGAAACTTCTTGATCAACTGATGCGTCCGCCAGCGCGACACGTCCTCGGGTCAGAAGAAGAAAAGGTACCCATACCGCTACCCTTCCGTCATTTTCCCCTTACTGGGCCTCCTGGGAGGCCCTCGTCGCCACCGCTGGGTTCGCCTCGAAATCCTGTCCGTGAACACCCCAGGAGAGGTCAGGAGAGTAGCCGTATGGGTACCTCTTGCTTTCCCCATTGGGGGGCAACTTCTTACAGTCAAAGCGTGTATCAAGGACGGGTGGCAAGGACTCCAGAGCCTTGGAGGCCAACGTTGGGATGTTTTGGGTGACGGGCAACCAGTGAAAACGGCAAAGGACGGGCCGCAGAGGCAAGGACACAAGCGTACCCTAGATGAAGGCGCGCGTCCTTACTAGGCGCATTGGCTGTAACGCCTTGCCAACTGCTCTGCCGATGGCAGCCCCGAGCCAGAGACCCGACAAGGGGCACCCCGCCGCCGCAAGCCCACCCCCTGGCCGAGCACGCCACCAACCATAGAGAAGCACCTGGTCGGCCGTCGGATGGCCGGTGGTCACTGTGCACGCAGGCGAGGGGGGTCAGCTTCAGCGGGGGCGATGGATGAGGAGGCCTCGAACAACGAGTCTGGCAGGAAGCTGGACATCCACGCGGCCGCACGCACCTGCGGGACGCGTACAAGGGGGGCCTTCGCGCTGGGTGCGCACTCCGAGGGCCAGCGTATCGGGCCTTGCGAGGGCCGAGGCCTGCGAGATCGGCATGCGGCCACGAGGTTCTCGAGGCCTGGCGGCCATCGGGTGGGCGAACGTGTCGGCGGTGGACAAACCTCCCTTTAGTAGACCTCCCCTTAGTGAAAACGGCCTGGGACCGAAACCGACAGACCTGGACCCGCAAAAATGACGGCCGCGACGCCCTCTCGCGAACCGAAAACGGCCAATTCCTTAATCGACGTGTCAGGGTAGGAGGCCTGTCCACCCCCGAACGTGGGGAGGAACGCGGGGAACGCCAAGCTTCAGGCTTCTCTGGGGACCCTCCCGGCCCCATAGATCTCGCCGTACGCGGCGCCCTGCCCCGCAGACGCCGACCACCGCATCCTCCCCGGTGCGCTGGCCCTCTGCGTGTGCGTCGGCCGGGGCCCGCGTGTGTGTCCCGCTCCGCTCTCTCGCCGCAGTGGGGGTCAGTCCACAGGAGACCTTCCACAAGAAGCCCCACCCTGAGACCCCAGGGCGTCCCTGGATTCTTGGTGCGGGAATGTCACGTGCTCCATAAATTAGCAGAGCCATCGAAACCCAAGACACCCAGGGCACCATGGCATGGGTCTCCACTGTACCCAGCGTATCCTGGAAGGGTGTCACACCCGAGGAGCGCCCTGTCTTGTGGAAGCCCCTAGGTGTTCTGCCTCGCCTCCGCAGAGCGAGCCTCGTGCTCCAGGGCCTCGCGCTGCAGGAGGTCAAAGTCCTGGTTCAGCCCCTGCAGCGCAGGGCGCAGCCGACATCTTGCCTCATAATCGGAGCTAAGTCAGAGTAACATCCTCCAAGAACTGCACCATAAGACCCTCCGCCGACCAAAACACACAGCACATCCAAGGGTACCCTCTCCAGGATGCACAAGAACATCCACACAAACGCGAAGAACACTGGGGCATCCTCCCGAACCGACCTCGATCTTATGCCTCGCCCCGACTGTTTTGCACGCCGCCCAAATTCGGCCAACGCTGACGGGGCCGGGGGATCGCGCCGCATTAGCGACGCATCGCCGACGTCGGGATGGAGGAATCCCGGCTCAGTACATCACGCCGCACCTTGAGTGCGGCACGGTGCTCCGACTCCGTCTGTTCCAACCCCAGGTTGGGCGGCCTGGATTTACGCATGGGACCTCTGACGAAGGACGAAGCATCTGTCTTGCCAACGTTGTGGCTTGACTTCTGGGTAGCCCGACGGAGAGAGCCGATGGGTGGGCCCATAGAAATCGAGTCCCCTCCGCGCCAGAATAGCTCCTTGCTCCAGTGTGTTGGCTGTAGGGCCCTGGCCCAAACCCGGGTGGGCCTCCGGGCTCTTACACGCTGGCGAGGCCACAGCGGTCAGGATCTTGGGCCTACCGTTCACAGCATCTGAGCCTCCTTCTGTTCATACCATCTCAGTTGCACCCTCCCTATTCTTAGACAGTGGTCCAGCTCCAGAGATACGAAGCGCGTACGAACGAACAAAAAGCTCCAAGAAGACGCCGAGTGTCCAGTCCAGACTCTTGAGATTCTGGAGCGAAATCTGGAGCCCACGAATATTTGCGCTTTTCCTACGCCAATCGAATGGGTGTACATGATCCCGAAGACCAGCAGTGACAACATCACAGCACAGCCCTGCATGCCCACCTCCCGGAGCGCCTCGCAGAACGCCAAGTGGGACCCGAACCGCCCAACCCAGAGATCATGGTCACGAAGGGCGGAGGGAACCATCTCGCGAGAATCCTTCTCGCGCGACAAGAAGGTGCGACAGTCAAGAGCACCGAATGATAAAACCGACGCCGCAACATGCCTGGTTCCAGCACTCACTCGTCTTCACCATTCCGCCATTCCCGCGAGTCCTCGGCGCTGCCGAGGCGCAGGGACAAGCACTTCCGCATCTCTGGCGTGAGATTCTTGACATCATCCTCCGTCAGGTACCACAAGTACTCGTCCTGTGCTGCACTTTGGAAGCCGCAACGTGCCGAAGGAGACCAGGCTCCAGGCATACAGAGTACGACGCCGCTCGCGCATGCCGCATACTTCGGGAACCACGGGCAGGGGGTGGGATCGGGGTGGTGTATATGTACAGGTGTATATGTATATATATATACATATACACATACATAATATATATATATATATATATATATATATATATATATAAGCGGCTTCGTACGTCCAGGTATGTATGTGTGTATGCATGTCTGCGTGTATGTATGTGTGTATGTATGTATGTATGGATGGATGCATGTATATATGTATGTATGCATGTGTGTATGTATGTGTGTACGTATGGGTACATCGGTGCATGCATGTGAGTATGCATTATACAAACATGCATGGCTCTATGTATACATGTATGTAGGTATGTATGTATGCATGTATGAATGTATGTATGCATGCAGCATGCATATATATATATATATATATATATATATATATATATATATATGCATGTATGTATGTATGTATATATGTATGTATGTAGGTATGTATGCACGTTTGTATGTATGTATATTTGTGTGTATGTGTGCATGCATGTATGTATGTATATGTATATGTACAGATGTGTATGCATGTATGTATGTATGTAGGCATGCATGCATGCATGTACGTACGTATGTATGTATGTATGTATGTATGTATGTGTGTATGTAAATATGTGCGCATGTATGCATGCATGTATGTATGTATGTATGTATGTATGTGTGTATGTATGTATGCATGTATGTATGCATGTATGTATGTATGTATGCGTATGCATGCATGTGTGTATGTATGTATAAAGGTAATTGTGCAGTGTAGATGGATGTATATAGGTGTGTATGCATGTATGGATGTATGTAGGTATGTATGTATGTATGCTTGAACATATGTATAGCTGTAAGTATGTATGTACGTATGTATGTATGCATGCATGCATGCATGCATGCATGTATGTACGTATGTATGTATGTATATATGTATGTATGTATGTATGTATGTATGTATGTATTTATTTATGCGTGTATGCATATATACACATATAAACATGTATATGTATATATATATAGATATACAAATATAAAAACGGCCTAGCACTTCCAAGATTATGCAAGACCTGGGCGGCCCGGGATGATGCAAGACCTAGGCGGCCCGCGCGGCCCAGCCAGAACGCCCCATGATGGTCCAAGACACCCCCGCGACGCCCGCGAAGGCCCCAAGACGGCCCAATAGGATCCATAGACGGCCAGCACAAACACCTGGAGAGGGCCCCACGAGGGGTTGGAGAGGTGAAGCTCGCAAGGGCTCCCGAAGCCCTCCCCGACAAAAACGGCACCCAAGGCGCCCAACAGTGACACCCCGAGGCCCCGAAGAATCCCCCAGAGGTTGACACAAGACTCCTGGAGCCGAGGAAGGCTCTCGCAAAGCTTCCCGAGAGGTCTCCGATGAGTCTCACAGCCCCAGAAGCCCCGAAGCAGACGCGGAGGGAGAGGAAGACCAACCAGCATCAACTACATGCAGCCCCACATATCCTCTTCTGTGGGTCGGCGGCATGGCATAATCCTAATGATCCACTGTGCCCAAAGCTCGCGAACATCCTCCCCATATGGCGCCGTCTCGTCATTTAAGGGTCCGACGCTTCTGACGACCCCTGATGCTACCAAGAAAACCAGCAGCTGCTGCTGCTGCTCATACCCCCTCCTCGTCGTCCTGCTCCTCCCCCGAGCTCTTGCCCGCACCTCTGACTGATGCAACCTTCAATCCGTGTGCAATGTGTACCCTAGACCGTAGATGCTGGCTGATGTTCTTGCTGCTGGCGCGTTGCCGAACAGCCAACCAGCCGCGGAGGCCTACCAATCGGGAACAACAGCGCCAGGACTGAACGAGCGTAAACCAAAGACGCCCCGAATGGTCAGTTTCCCCATATAAGCCCTGGCAGGCGCCACGCCTGCTCGCCATGGCTGCGGGCCGACCGCAGCCTGCCTGAATCGGCGTCGGTGCGCGATCCGGCCTCTGCAGGGAAACCTCGCGCACACTCCCGAACATCTATTTGCTCCCTGACATCTCGCAGCGCGTTCGGCGAGCGGGGGACCCCAATGGGCCCGCACCAAATGCCAATCCAGCGAAGGGTCGCTCTTACGTGTAGTCTTAGGTCGGGCGCGTCCCCCTACAAGGGGATTTTGGACGAAAAAGAAAAAATACCCAAACACATTTCAAACAATACTCAAACATACTTTAAACAATTGTCCAGAGACTGTTTGTTGACTACTTTTCTCCTGTAGAGGGGACAGGCCCGACTCTAGGGTAGTCGAGCTTTCCTCTGCCCCTCTTCTTGTCCCTCCCCCTCCCCTCGGCCGCCATGGCCACCCCCCGCCGCCCCGACGCCCCGCGGCGCTGTGCGGCAGTTCCTGGCTTCCTGGTCGTGCCTGATGGCGCCCGCTGCCAATGCCGCCCGGACAGTCTGGGCGCCCGAGCTCTCCGGGGCAGCTCGGGCACGGGGTATAACTCGGGTTCGGATTTCCGAGCAACGAACCCGAGTTGGCCCTGACCTGAGCTACCCCTGATGGTTCGGGGCTCTGGACGCCCGAGTTCTCCAGGGCAGCTCGGGCCTGGGGCAACCCGGGTTCGGATCCCCGAAGAAACGAACCCGAGTTAGCCGCTGGCCCTGACCCGAGCTACCCCTGATGATTCGGGGCTCTGCACGGTCCCAGACCTCCGACGTCGTGCTTTTTTCACGACGTCGACCCCCGGAAGTCTGGACCCCTTCCCCAATCCCGAATCGTTTTGTTGGCGCTCTGGGGGCACGGTAAGGGCTCCCAGGGGCCAACCTCCCGTCATGATTGTTTCGAGACGCCAGGAGGTCTGGGGTGGTCTGGCTTGGCAGCCCCGCTTCATCGCGGAGCCATCGCGAACCCGAGTTGGCACTGACCCGAGTTGGCCCTAACCCGAGGATGAGGAAGGGGAGGAGGAGGATGAGGATGAGGATGAGGATGAGGAGGAGACTCCGAAGGGTGTGGTATGCAAAGGGTGTGGTTTGCAACTGGCACACTGGGGGGCACCCTGGGGGGCGAGCGGGGACCTCTATATAGAGCTCTCCGCCGCGCCCCGAGAAGGCCCGACGAGGGCAGTGTCGTGCCTCCCTTGGCCTCATGGTGCCGATCGCAAACTACACTCCGGCGTAAGCATACCCTTTGTAGCCCCCGAACTTCATCGCGGAGCCCCGCTGGCTCCGGTCTCCCTGCGCACCCCCTTAGTAACCTCCCCTTAGTAAACCTCCCCTTAGTAAACCTTTCCTTAGTAAACCTCCCCTTAGTAAACCTCCCCTTAATAAACCTCCCCTTAGTAACCCCTCCCCTTTGTCTATCAACTTCCGATGTATCGCGGAGCCCTGCTGGCTCCTGTCTCCCTGCGCGTCCTCTTCGGCGAGCAAGGCCCGGATTCTTTTGTGTGCGCCCGGCCTGCCCCTCCGCGGCCGACGCCTGGGCTGCCCTCCAGCTCGGGGGCCTTGCTGGTGGCCCCAGCATGGCTGGCCCGTCCATCTCCCACGGGACTTTCGGCGACCCGAGGAGGAGGAAGGGGGAGGAGGAGGATAAGGAGGAGGAGGGGAGGAGGAGGAGGAGGAGGAGGAGGAGGGGGGATGAATGAGAGGAGGCCGGAAGGAGGAGGAGGAGGGGGGGTGGGTGGGGGGGGGGGTGGGGGAGAGGGGGTCGAGGAAACTGAGGAGGGGGGTAGGAGGAGGGTGGGGGATGAGGAGTATAACGAAGGAAGGCGAGGGAGGAGAGAAGGATAAGAGGGAGGGACTGAGGAGGAGAGGAGGCGATTAAGGAGGGAGGGTGGAGGAGGACCTGGAGGAGGAGGAGTAGGACGGGGAGGAGTACATGCTGGAGGCTGAGGGGGAGAGGGACGAGGAGATGGAGGAGGATGAGGAGGGAGGAGAGGATGGAGGAGTGAGGAGGAGGAGGGAGGGAATGGCGGAAAGGAGGAGGAGGAGATAGGATGATGATGATGCTGATTATGATGCTGATGATGATGATGATAGGATGATGATGATGATGAGGATGAGGAGAGGAAGGGTAGGAGGAGGAGGAGGAGGAGGAGGAGGAGGAGGAGGAGGAGGAGGAGGAGGAGGACGGGTCGCCTGAGCCATTCGGAGAAACCCTCCACCCAAGCATGGCTGGCCCGTCAATATCCGCCTCAGGGCTGCTCCTGAGGCCCCGTCAGCCGGCAGTTTGCTCCTGGCGACTTGGTGGCTGCGTCGTGCAGCTCGCCTGGCCGACTTCTCTAATTACTGTCGACTGGCCCTACCCTGATCACTGGATGCTGGGATTTTTCAGTCGCGACCGATCTTGCTTCAAATTTCGCCATCGGTCGCGATTAATCGGTCGCGATCGGTGGCGACTGGTCGCGCACGATTTTGAGATCGGTCGCGACCGATTTGGAGGGCCGATCGGTCTCTACCGATCGCGACTGAACACAACCGGTATCCAATGATCTGGGCCGCGCCTGCGTTCCTCAGCGCTACCGGCAAAAACGGTGCTCGCAAAGGCCCAGTTACTTTGCCTCGATCACGGACTGAGGAACCCGGGGCCCCAAGATGAAGGGGCCCTGGGACACACCAATACATAGACACAACTAAGGGGATTCCCAATCTTTTCCTCATAAATTCTGGGTTGTTGTCTCCCCCCCCACTTCCCATATGTTCCCATCTGTCCAGGGGGGTCGACGATTCATTGTGTGCCTGTGTGTGTTTTCCTCTCCTGACAAGAGCCAGGGCCTGGCCGCCCACCGAACAATCGGCCTGTGGAGCACCTTCGCCGTGCCCCCGGGAGCTCATGGAGCCGGGCCGCCCCCCTGGAATCTGCCCGGCACTTTCGCCACGCCCTTGCAATCTCACGATCCCCATCCCCAGCGGCGTGGCCTGGGCCCCACTTGACGACTTACCCCCCTAGATGGGGATATAGGGCGTTCCCT